ACTTGGGACCTACTGAAAGTGAGGCGAACACTGTACCTCTAGTCCACCAGAGCCACCGCTGTCTTTTTATATTAAGTTCAATTATTATTTTTTATGCGTGTATTTTTATCGTCCACGGAATAATAAGGATGTAAGATTCCAGAAAAAATGCGAGACACTTAATAAAAATGATCTCCCCACTCGGGAGTCGAACTCAGAGGTATCTAGTCGAAGCGCCTAACCGCTACATCACATACGCTGCCAATCATGACGTTCTTTTTACGATGTAGTGAGTTTTGATATCTAATGAGAGAGAAGAGGTTGTCAGTTAGTTTTGTTTTTGTATATTTCAGTATAAATCAATATTAAACATAATGATTGGGTTGGCAACAAATTGCTGCCTTAAAATTACAACGTTCTACCTGACATTTGGTCATTGGGGAGGGGGGGAGGGGGGACTCCACCTGAAGGCTATCTCGCTTATTACTGGACCGAATTCTACCAAATTTCACACATATAACAAGCATAGTAAGGAGTCTCAAAATCGGCAATCAAATTTGAGAAAAAGTTTTGTTTCCATGGATACGGCTGCCATGTTGGATTTTGTTGACATGTCTTACGTCAACATAAAATCTTAAGATCATTCGTACTCGTTATCAATATATTCAAAGAATTACGCTGAAAAAATCTTACGTAATGAATACCGCACTTATTGCTAATGGAAATTGATTGTTGTTTTTTTTTGCATGCGTGTTTACAAATATTAGATCTAAAAATTTGTCAGTTCTGTTTTTCCTAAACGAATTTGAAAATTTTTAATAAATTTTTTCCTCAGGTAGCTTTCAAGTTTGCAAAATATCCATGAAAATCCACACTCCAAACACCACCAACATAAATCTGTTCCAAATATAAAAAAATTAACAGACTCATATTTAGTATTACATCTTTTCTTCATTCTGTAAATTTTTTTATGAAGATTGGATGAAAAATGGTGGAGTTATTCAAAAAAGTATAGAGAAAAGTCGCGTTTTGAGAAAACGGCCGATAAAGAAAAATAAAATACTGACTTTATGAGGAAACGGCGGTAACAAACATGCCGGTATGGGAAACAATACGGTTTTGGGGGGTTCTTATGCGATGATATAATTGTAGGAGAGACCGAGGAAGCTAAAAATGCCTACAGCTCGAATTCCATAATTTTGAGCCGAATTTTGACTTTGAGGGTGTAGCCCCCCCCCCC